AATAATAAAAATTATTCGTAAATATTTCATTAAATTTTATAGTATGTGAATTTTCTAAACACCAATCTAAAGACATAATAAAACAGATGATTAATATCATTGTTAGACTTAGTATAAGTCTTTATAAAATTATAGAAACCAAAACCAACGATTTAAAACTACATGAATCAAACAAAAATTAAGTGAAACCGTAAGAACCAATAATGATATTAATCTTAAAATAAAATAAAATAAAATATACTATTTAAAAATAATATTAGTTGATGTAAAATTGAAAAATAATAATCATAATAATATATCATCATGAATTTTGCAAATTCATTTTATATACATGCATATATATATATATATGATATTTATAGTCAATTTTGTCGATCTTAGTACCTTACATATTTTGAACAAAACAATAATAATAATAAAAAAAGATGCAATCAGAGGTTGTTTGATTTATAAGTAATGGTAATAATTATTTATAGTGAAAAATGCCTGAAGAATTATTGGATTAGACGCGTGGCTGGATTTGAGAGAAAGCAAAATCTGATGTCTTTGGAAGCTTCTTCCCCCGGTAGATAGAAAGGTGGCTCCCCCATGTGAGCCAACACCAAAAGCTTCCCTCCAAAAAGCATTCACATGTGCCACTTCATGATTTAGTGATTTACATATACATATTTACATATATATTTGGGTTGGATTTAGCATCCACGTGTCATGATATTAAAATCCCTCCCCTTTTAATTGATTTGGTTAAATTTTGATATTTTATATTTTTTTCCTCTTTTATTGAGTATGGAATGACTTTATTGCTTTATTAAATTATGTGTGTTTTACTTGAATATGCTATTTACTCATGGATTAATACATTTTTTTATGTAAAATTTATCCTATATGAATTTTTTATATATTTTAATCATAATTGAATAGTTAATTTTTGATCATCTGGATTCAGTAATCATTTTAATTTTTACTACCTTAGTTCATATAGTTGAGAACTTATCAGTTTGTAATTCACAATTGCACATTACATTAGATTTGATTAATCTGAATAAAATTTATACTCAACACAACTAAAAGAATAAATGGTTGAAATGTAATTAGAATTTGGTACTTATCATTATGATGAGCATTGCGTACTCACGAGTCACGATATTAGAGATGAGATTCGAATTGGTTAAATGTATTTTCTATTATCTAAATTTAAAGTTTTTTAATTAGTAATTTTTTTTATTATAGTTTAATTAGAAACTTTTTGATAAATTTGTTTTATGAGGTCATGATGTGCACTTCTTAAAATAAAATTTAAAATATACAACATGAAAGTGAAATTATTTTTTTAACCAAAGTGAAACTAAATTTAGACTATACAATTTTAGTATGGAGGATGAAGAGAATCTATTTCCTGTTGCAATGGAACCTATATTAGCATGTTTGTATTAGGAGCTTTAAGCAAGAACATGGATATATTCCATTCACTGATTCCCACCCCAATAATTAAAGAAAAACTTATACCCACTTTTTTAAAAAAATTTTTATCGGTGTCTTTAAATTTCTAAATAATAATTATATGATTTCAAATTTGATCACATATTTATCTTATAAATATTTAAAAAGTCTGTACTTATTTTCTTTTCATTTAAGAGCATAATATTTTTCACTTTAACTAACTTCATTTTGTAAGAAATAACTGGCTAATTTGCAAATGAAACCAATATTTGTTAACACATACAGACATATGATATTAGAAATAAAAATGGAAATGCAATTTATTGATTAATATTACATCTGGTTTTTAAATAAAAACTAGTTACTAATTAAGTAGATTAAAAAATTATTTAATTTTGTTATTTGTGATAAATGTATTTTTTTTCTAAAATATCTTTACTAATTAAGTGTATTAGTCACGATTACCATTTGATAAAACTTTTAACATGTGCAATTATTATAAAGGTTACTTTAAAAAAAAATAAAAAAATAAAATACATTAAAATCTTATATTTAAAACTAAATTAAAAGTTAAACTAATTTTCATAGTATGTATATAATTCTTTTTTATTTTGTGATAATATGAATCCAATCAAAATAATGTTAGACTGGGCTTTCTCCTCCTCCGGAAATGGGCCCAACAATAATTGCGGACTGTAGTGTGCCAGGTCAGAGAATTATTTTAATACTCAGTAATGATAATTTCACATCCAAATGTTCATCTTTGGAGCTGTCACTACCCATTGGAGAAATTATTAAAATTTGATCAAATGACTAAAATATGATAAAATAAATTTCATGTGATAAATTAAATAAATTATTTTTTGTTTATCCCTAGTACTTTAAGATACTTGTATCTAAAACACATAGCGGCTGTAAGGATTTTAATATGCTTATTATTATTTAAAGTTTAGTGTTAGTGGATGTCCGTATCACTAGAGAATAATTTAATGAGCAACTTTTGAAGCGAAGATCGGATCCTAATAACATCACGAATTCAATTAAGCTACCTTGGGAGCTCAACACCATCTGTTTTGTGGTCTGTGCTTGTGAGGCAAGTAGTTAGCCAATCAGTGATTTAATCATGAAATATAAATAAATTTAGAAAAAAATGGGGGAAAGTCCTCGATGAAAATTTTATTGGTGAGAAGAATTTAAAAAAAATTTTATATAGAAAATATCAGTATTTTATAAATTTTGTAGACATGGAGTATGTTTTGATTTAGGTCTTTCTCACAATTTTTTTTTTCAATTTAAAATTGCCAACCTAATGTCATCATAATACATGAAGATTTTTTTTTGGTGGGCTATAAACTTAGAGTATCCCAAAGCATATATCTCTAACTCATTTTGGAATCAAAACTAATATTTGTCGAATCAGAGCATTAAGATTAAAGTCTTCTCAATAAGTACATTTCTTGAGATTCAAACTTGTGTTATCATCTTTATAAGATGAGACCGCTTGCTATTTAAACCAATACATAAAGATTTTAATCAAACAAAATCATATGACTATAAATAATCTAAAAATATTGATTTTATTTTTTTAGCATTTTTCTGTCAAATCCAAAAACCATCAATGTTTTTTAAAGATCATTTTGTTGGTATGCATTTTTAAAGATCATTTTGATTCCTAATCTAATTTCATACTTTCACCCGATGACATTTCAGCCCATTTTAGTTCAGTAAAGTATTTTATGCATATTGAAATAAAATTCTTTTTATATATTTATTTTGTATATAATAAAATTATTTTTAAAATTTTAATTTGGTTTTATCCGAACACCCTTCAATGATTAATCATGCTACTAGTGAATCTAATCAATAGAGCCAGGACGGGCCGAGCTCGTCTGGCAGGCTGGTTTAGGCCCGAAAATTAAGAGAGTTGGGTTTGAAAATTTTTCCCCTCAAATGAAAAACATGCCTTACAGGACTGGCCTTGTAGGACCGAGGGCTTAAATGGGCCAGTCCTGCAGGGTCAAAGGTTGGCCTGTTTATGCACTTTTATAATTTTTGGTTTTTTAAAATTTGTTTGTGTAATTTCAATATTATTAATTTTTTTTATATTGTTAATAGTATTTCAAATATTTAGTTATTATTATCATTTTATATAATGGTTTGATTTATTTAGTTTTACACAATAATTTATCCAATTAAATTTTTAAACGATGGTTAATTTAGATTTTAATAATGATTTGATTTACATTATATGTGTTGATATTTTTAAACTATATATATTTGATAAGAGAGTAGTTTTATACTTATATAACTTGTTATTCTATAATTTGAATTAGAAATTTATAAATTTCAATAATAATGTTTCTCAAACTAAAGTAAAATAATAACTAGACTGCAAAATTTAAAAGCGAAATTCCTATAAAAAAAGAAAAACTTGATATTTTTGTTACGAAAGAAAAGCATACTTATAAAGAAGAGTAATTGTTTTTTGCACATTTACACTATAGATGAAATTTTTGGATGTTGCTATCTTGTTAATGAATATTTTAGATGTTCTTAGATGTTGATGGATATTTATATATGATGATATTTTGTATTTGTGATTTAATTTTATTTATATTTATTCTTTTATTAATAATTTCATTGGTTTATTTCATTTTTTATAAACAAATGAGAAATATGAAAATAAAAGTTTTTCTTAAACAGGTCAAAAACCCGCAGGCCAATCCTGAACTCGTTAACTTAAGGGTCGGACCTAGCAAATTATGACTTTTTTAGATTTTGGCTCTGTAGGGTCGGCCTCTTTAAAACCTACTAGTCCTGCAGGGCTAGTCCGTATTCTCATCTCTACTAATCAACAATGGAATCATCGGGCTCAATTCTTTAATTAATATGATAATTAAAATACTAACTTAAAAAATAAGACATTGTAAAATACAGATCACAATGATTTTAGTTATGAATATATACTCCTTCCGATCATTAATATAAGACTTTGTTTGACTTTTATTTTAATATTAAATATAAGGCTCTAATCTACTTTGTTTCTTATATATATATTTTTTAAGATAGTCCATCTAATAATGATAGTTTAACCAATAAACTTGATTAGCAAAGATATTTTAAAAAATAATACTTATTTATTACAAATAATTAACTTAATTTATTTTTTTAATTTAAAATTTTAGTTTGGTCCCTTAACTTTAAAAAGTATATTTTTAGTTCTTTAAGCTAAAAATTGTTAGTCTTAAATGACATTTTTTTATAACAATTAGAGTTGTTTTGAATATTAAACTTAATATGTTAGTATTTAGTAATGTTTTATTAGCATTCAAGAGTTTACTATCATAAGTTTTTGTTAAAAATTTTAGGATTAGAAGACTAAAAATTTATTTTTAAAATTAAAAAATTAAAAAAATACTTTAATTTTTAATTTATTTAAATTAGTTAATTAATTTTTATATTTAACAGCGGAGGGCTAAAACATAATGTGGGCCCACCACACCATATTTTTTCCCCTCTTCTCCTGTGCAACAATTCACAAATTGTTTTGGCCAAAAAACAAAAATTCACAAATTGGATTACTCATTGTTCCTTTATCTTCCCCTTTCGATTTCGAAGGGTTTTGAATCTTTTGATCGATCTCCTCAGTAGTTTCTCTCCGATCAACGTCAAATGGCTATTCTCACAGTCCAACTCTTCTCTCCCAAATTCTCTAACTCCTCTTCAACGAATCTCCTCATCCACAACCACAAGCTCAGAACCACCCGAGTCTGGTGCACCCGCGGCTTCAGCGACGCGTCGCTTGCATCGGAGCTCGCCGCCAAAGTCGCCAAGATCAATTCCGACTTGCTTAAGACGGAGGAGGCCATGAAGAAGAGCCGAGAGATTCTCTTCGGAGAGTTGTGCGAGTATCTTGGCTTGAAGGAAGACGAGGTGAAGCACAAGTGGAGGAAAATCGACGGAGAAGAGAAATCGGCTTTGATCAAAGCGTTTTTGGAAAAGTGGGGTTCGAATTTTCACCCCTTATCTGCGAGGTCTGCGAAGGAGATGATGGAGGAGTATTTGCATGAAGAGAACGATTCTTCGTCTGTGAAATCATCTTCTGATTCTTCTGCGTTCTTGTTTCCTGGATTGAAGAGGTTGATGGGGTTTTCTCAATAGCAAGTAAGTGAAGAAAAATCACGGTGTTTTTGTTGTTTATTGATCAAAATTTGATAGATGAGAATGAAAGGCGTATTTTTTATAAATTAGATTGCTAACTTGCCAAGAGCATAAATTGATGGGTTAACTTTAATGTGAAGTTTCCGGTTAAAAGAGGAAACTTTAATACAAAGAGAATCTACGTGTCACGCCTTAGTTGAGTTTTATGGATTGTTATCCCGTCTCCTATTTCTTATAGCGACTCTTTAAAAATTAAAAATTCAGTTTTATCTTTTTGTGCCGTCTATTGTTTCTCCCCATGTATTACTATTCATTGATTTTATATCATTTTAAAAAAAAAGATGCTAACAGTAACCTTTTTTTTTCCTGAAGCATCCAACTTGAAAAGTTTAGGATACTAAAATCGAAATGGATTTAAACCTTATCTCTTAATTGGAGTGGTACAAATTCTGAAAGCCTTGGTCTCCAGTAGCAATCCCATTGTTCTTCAAGTTCGTGAAACAGCAAAGATATTGGTCATTTCGTGCAAAACTAGCATCTCTTATCTGTCAAAGTACTCTATCTGTATTGTCTTCTATTCTGATTTAAGTAGCTAGAACAATGACCTCTATTCTGAATAAGGAATCTAGATATTTGTTACCAATAACTAGTGGGAACTCTGTGGTGCACTAAGTAGAGAGACATATTGAAGTTTTTTATACTTAAATATAGACAAAATGCAAAGACAGTTTTTATCATGCCAAGAGTTTAGCAGGCACCTTCTACGACATTCTTGATAAGGCCACATTATAAAAATGTCTCTCTTAACTCTCGGAGATTAGCATATTCGCACAGTTTGGGTATTTAATTCGGTGCACGCAAGTGAATAACTTACCTTTGAGCGTGATGGAGGTAAGTTGGTTGAGATGCGCATAAATTGACTAAACGCTTGTTTACAGTATCAAACGCATAATATGGATAGTGAGGGGAGAGAGGAAAAAGTGGAGAGGATCTGTTTTGCATGACTCTAAAGTGGGATTTAAATTTTCTGCTTTACTTAGTCGGTATTATACCATACTGTACTGATAACCTGCTTTGGCAGACTCAGAGCTCTCCTGAAAAATTCCTGGTATATGATTCCTGATGGAGCAAGTGCCTGGTTCATAAGGTACCTATTACTTTTATCATCAAACCCTCCTGCATAAGTAAAACCAGCTATGAGGATTATAGACTGTATATAATGACAAGGATTTTGAAAAATATTGAAGAAACATATGAATCAAATGGGAAAACAATGGGATACACAATACCATGATATTAACAAGTTGTTTCAGTTGTTCACTCCACTGGTCTTGTGGAATGTGGAACAAAATTGATGAAAACTAGAGGAGCCCTGTACATTACACGGTCTTAGAAAACTGTTCACAGTTTGTAAATAGTGCTACTTGTTGTAAATTCAAGATCTTAAATTGATGATACTGGTGTTGATTTTTTTAAGGCATCCAGCTCTATATGCGAAGCAACAACCCCTTGATTTGAATGAAATTTTGCATGAGAATTTCGAAATCCCAATTCGAACATAATAATAATGGAATAGAGGTGCAAAACGTAATGCAAAGTGGATTGTTTTGGTGTCTTGTGATTTGTTAACAGTAAATTACAGAGAGAAACTGTGCCATTCATGCTTATAGTCTGGTTTGTGCGAAATTTTACAGATACATGGATTTGGATTTGTGAGCAAATTTGCTTGGTAAGCTCTTTAGCTGTCGTCTGATAAATTGGGGAGACATCATCTCAGAATAAAGGGAACTCCTAAGCACTCCTTCAAACAAGAGGCAATCTATTCCTTCATCTTTTGTTCCTTTGTAGCTACAAGTTCATGCACAATTTAATTGTAAAGTATTAGCTTTGTTCCATTTTAGAACTCAACGAGCTTTAAATGAATCTTAAGCTCAAGATTTGAACATATTAAGGATTCCCATGTTGGTTAGAGCTAGGTTGGAAAAAAATTGTACATATATAATAAATATTTATTAAATTAATGGTTTAAAGTTTTGGAGATGAAAGCGGTATCAAGTCAACTTGTGTACTTAACGTCAAATTCCAATGAAATATGAAGTCTAGAGGATTTCAATCGTAGTTTGAAGCTCCTCCAAGTTCCAAAAATGATGTTAAGAGATAATCCAATAATTATGTTAACAAAGTTGTTGCCGGCAGAAAAATAGGCTTGTAGCTTTGTCTTGATGGCAGGACTCATTTTATATTTCTGTTGATGTGAAAATTTCAATTCGAGATGCAGAACGAGACAAGTTCTTCTACATATTTATTTTTTGTACTATAAAAGCACGTTTAAAACTATGGTTTGATTTCTATCCAAATACCTTAATCTATCTTGGGAATTAGGAAAGTATCCCATATCTGCCTGTTGATTTCTTTTTGAAGGCATTTCTTCATGGCACTTGGACTACACGAGTATTAGGTCTTCAGTTTTCTTTGTGCTCAGGAATCAAAGCCCGGACACTTTTACCACCTTCAAGTTTAAATATAAGATTTACGCAGAGGGTTTATTTTGCTCTTAAATACTTTCAAATTTATAAATAGCCTTATTGATTGCGCATAATAAGGGATTTCCCATTAATGCATAAATGATGTACATAATCTAGAAAGAACATTATAAAAAAAAATCAATACACATTTCTTACAAATGATTTGACTTATATTTTTAATGTCGTCACAAATTAGTTATTTAGCTCTTATATTAATGATCTAGTATAAGATAAACCTCAAATATCAAATAACTCATTTCATCTCAAGTTAACGTATAAATTATACTTTTTTTTCACTGTTATTTTTTTCTTTTTAAATACCTGAATAGAATATGATGTTCAAATTATATCTACGTGAATACATGGATAAGATGGAATTAATTAAGTAGATGTAGCGACAAATAAATGATAAAGAGTACTCTAAGAAATTCATAAACTGAAAATGTTCAAAAACAATTTAAAAAAAAAAATCTCCAACAATTGTTTATACAATTTTTAAGAATGATTATCTACAGGCATCGAATATCTACATAAAGGACATAGATGACTAATTTTTAGCCACTTAACAATACAATTATGATGAAAAACATGCTGACATGGCATCATAGAAACATCTTCATCATCACAGAACTCTTCACAACAAATACAACACTCCTTGATGATCTTCTCATTTGGATCATTCTCATTATCTCCTTCAAGCTTCCTTTTGTTGAGTGATTGAATGCCTTCTTCGCACGTCGGAATCATTCTTATCTCATAATCATTCATAACAACATCTACGAGGTTGATGTTCCTATGCAATTCAACAACAACATCAACAGCAAGAGGAATCGCGATGAAACAATCCTCAAAACGAGAAGGGTAAGGATGATTATCATCGTTCTCGAGACATCGTCGAGCGTGATCGATGATCTCAGGGATCAACAGATCGAGCACTCGAGGTTCGAGGAGATTGTGGGAGAGGTTTCTTCGCAGAAAACTCGAACCGTTCTGGAAAAACTCTTTGATTGAGATGTAATGGGAAGAAAGCGGCAATGATGGAATATTGATCATATGACCAACACCATGAGAACAACGTTGCATGAGCCGAACACAAAGCTTGATCTCAAAATTTAACATTGTAGCTTTGTGGTATTGAGCAGATATGTTTTGGAAGGCTTCAGGAGTAGAAGGTTTATCAGAAACACGATAATAGCACGTTGCAGTGAGGGTGGACATGATTGATACAATGGGAATTTGTGAGTTGATTGAGAGAATGCCAATGGGGTGGCTGTGTGTGTGTGTTTATATATTATACATATATTTATAGGCTCTAAGTTTAATATATATATATATATATATATATATATTGAAAAGATTTTTTAAGATAAAGTTTATGAAGAGAAAGATATGATTATTAGTTTTAAGATAACATGATAAAATCAAGAGAACGGTTAATCTAAGTGATATATTTGTTTTTTTGTTGTTTATAAATTTTTATTAATTGGTGCGTAACAACTAACAAATACTAAGTATGTTGTTATCCTTTTTCTTTTGCAAACGATGAATTTTTTTTTTGAAAAATTTTAAAATCTGATTATTCATTATTATTTATCATGAAAATTCTAAAGGAAAGATTGTCTATAGTAATTTTTTTTTTGTTTTCGGGCAATTCATTAACTCAAATTAATTATTATTCATCCAAATATCTAATATGAATATTACATGACAATAGGCTTACAAATAAGCAGAGGTAGAAAACTCTAGAATTACTTAAATTAATGACTAAATCCTAAGCAGAAAAGGAAATTTAAAACAAATGACTTTTAAGAATAGCTTGATAATCAAGATAAAATAATTTAGATTACACATACAAATGGATCTAATCATTGATGACAGGGATGATAGAATCCCTTTAACATATTTTATTTGATTATCTCTTCATCAATACCTCGACAAAATAAGTAAGTTCCTGCTTTTAAGAAACAACAAATACAAAATAGGAAGCTACAAAAGAGAAAAATAACTAAAATAAATCTAATTCTAATTAATATCATACAAGCCATTCTTACTGCTTCATGAGCCTTCTAAATAGATGTTCATTTTACTATTCATTTTCATAAACATAAACACTAAAAAAAAAAAGTGATAAGCAACGGAAGTTTTTATTTAGCAATGATTAGTGATGGGACAGAATTAATAATAGAATGTTTCCATTGCTACTTTGTGGCCAATCTAATTTTTTTCTCAAAATTAAAATGCCATGTGGTGCCTCTACCAGCCACCACCTCATCACCAGTGATGATTACAGGCCACCTCTACACGTCACTGTCACCTCACCTATGTCGTCATGTGTCACCATCTCACCTTCATGCGTCGCTAAAATTTAGTGATGGAAGAACTCTGTGGCTAAATTTAGTGACAAAATTTTCGTCAATAATTTGCCAGAAATTAAAGACGGAATAATTTTTTGTCGCTAATTAATGAAATCATCTTTTTAAGCATTTATTTAGGTTTGAACAAGGTTGAATCATGTTCTCAAACTCTCACATACTATTATGGCATGCATTTAGGCCCCAATCTTGCATTTAATAAAGTGCTTTTTTCCCACTTGTATTTCCACAGTGTAATTCCTAAAATACCCTTATACAGTGTCTAAAATACTAAATTACCGATAATGGTCTCTTGATTGCTGTGGGTTCTATAATTGATGTATTATTTTTTATTTTAAAAAAAGATTGGCTGTATAGATATGGAATGCTTTGATATTTGATTAGTGTCTGTGTTTGTTGATTTTGTTTCTGCCTCTCCATGCTTTGATATTTGTGGGGTTTCTCTGGTAAATTTGAGCAACTTAAGTCCCGTAGTTGTTAGTTGATTTATAAAAGGTGGTGGTTGCTTTGTCTTGAGTTTTTATGCTCTTAAGGCTACATAGGTCCATTAGGTTCATGGTTTTGCTGTTATTTCCTTTCGCGTCACTATTTCGTAAGTAAATCAGAATGCAACATTTTGTAGGATTAAACGAACTCTTTTTTTCATAGTGATTATATTAATTCTTCCGTTTTGGAATATAATGTTGGGAGGCCATGACATTGAAAAATAAAGATGGTTTAAAGCAATTGATCTTCAGGAGTGATTAAGAGATCAGATCAGGAGTAAGTGGTATTGGAGCCAATTTTTTCTGAGAGCTAGGGATAAATTTAATAAAATGAAGAAAATGTTGGTTTAAATAATATATTTAATTTGTTTAATTTCTGGTGTTTAAATATAATAAATATTTTGTTATCCCTTCTTGGAAAAGATGAAATGTTTTTTTAAAAAATTGCAGTATTTATCGATAATTATTCCCATGAAATCAAGAAATTTTTTAAGGAAAATTTGGTAAAAAATCAGTAAATTTTAAAAATTTAATTGGCTAAAAAGACCTTAATTTGAGCGAATGTAAGTATGATCCGTAAGTGTAACATATCTATATTGCACACAGTAGAAGATATGTTGTACGCATGGATCATACTTATACTTGCTCAAATTTAGATCCTTTTAACCAATTAAATTTTCAGTAGTGCTTTTTTTTTTTTTTACCAATTTCCCCAAATTTTTATAGTTTTTTTTTTGGCTTTCATTACCCTTTATATCTTTTTTGTACTATTATAATTGTAAGGACGAGATTTTTAAAAATATTGGTTTTGATAAATATTTTTTCTAAATTTTATTCCCAATCTTAATTTTTAAAAGCAAGACTTGTGAAAAATGTTAAATTATATATTATGGTGATATATAACAGACCATTTAAGTATGTTTACCCAACATTTTATAAGCTTAATAACCCATTTAAAATATTTTAAAGCTGTGTTAGCAAAAAAAATTTGAATGTCTTTTTAACAATTTTTAAAATTCAATTACTTAAATATAAGTCTTGCCCATGCCTTATAGTCATGACATGTTACCCTTTTGCAATTAACAATAAAAATTATTAGTAATTTGGCTTATTATAAGTAGTAAGAACTCTCATTTCTTAAGAAATACTCTTCCGGTCTTAAATATAAGATCCATTTTGTAGTGTAAATTACATTAGAAAATGGGTGTTATATTTAGAATCGAAGAAATACTATTTAAAAATATAAAAAAAAAGCCTGGAGTACAAAGAAAAACCGCCAAAACCAGATACACAATAACAATATTATCATCAATTATTTTAATTACAAGATCTGTAATCTTTAGTACAAATTAACTCGAAAAGTATTTAGTTCCCCTGGAGGATCATGAATCGTGAATGACTCTCCAATGCCAAATTAACTCGAAAGGTATGGGCACAAGTCCAATTATCCAGTGCCTGACAATACCTATGACTATACAAGCTTATCCAGTAAGCCTCAATGAATGGTATAACACATAATTAAAAGAATAAGCCTCCAGAAAACAAATCTCTCAGTATCTCACCAAGTTCCGACCAATTTGAATCAAGTGTGGAAGTGTGCAAAAGAAGAAATCCGTCTACTTCTTAGTTCGTTCCATCTTTACTTTAATCTTCTCTTCCAACAAGGACACTTCTGTCTCAAGATCAAACATTCTGTTTAGAGCACGCATATTTTCAAGTACTTCGCTCAGTGAACGATCATCATTTCCATCACACCTCAGGTGTTGCATAGGACCGTGAAGCAGCTTCTTCACTATGCTCATACTGAGGTCATAAATGGCTTCTTTCTGCTTCTTTGAAATGTCACCCCCCATCTTGGACAAGCATTTCTCCATCTCAGAGGCTCTGATCCTTTCAACATAGGCTCTAAATTTCTTGATGGTGGGAACAGTTTCAAGTGAGTCTTTCCAAGCTTCAAACTTGTTCAATTCTTCAAAGATAATTTCACGGGCTTCAGCGGCTTTCTGAAGCCTGTCCTCCTTGTTAGCTGCAACTACTTCCTGAAGGTCATCCACATTGTAGAGTTGTGCAGTATCCAGACCTGAGACACCAGGTTCCACATTCCTAGGAACAGATATGTCAACGAAAAGCCTTCTTCCCATGCCTTGGTCAACTGGAGGAAGCATTTGCACATTCTCTTTTGAGAATAATGGGGATTCAGATGCAGTGCATGTGAATATCACATCACCTTCAGCAGCACATGCAAGGGTTTCTGAAAGAGGTCTGTACATTATGTCAACACCTTGCAGCTCTTGGCTAATGGCATTGACTCTATCTTCAGTTCTGTTAACAACAACCATTCTATTGCACCCTTTTGCCACCAAGTGTTTGATCACAAGTTTTCCCATCTTCCCTGCTCCAAAGACTACTACTCTGGAATTAGCAAAGGAAGACTCTGGAAGCTTCATGAGAGCCAGTTCCACAGCAGCTGAGCTGACAGAAACTGACCCCGAGGAAATGTTTGTCTCAGCTCTTACTCGCTTTCCAACAGAGATTGCCTGCTTGAACAACCCACTGATTTTCCTATCAAAACCAGCTACTCCTTGCCCAAGTTTTACAACTTGTTTTACCTGAGCAAGAATTTGACCTTCCCCAAGCACAAGAGAATCAAGCCCCGCCGCTACTTCAAACAGATGTTGAGTGGCATCCTTGTTGTATAGCAAAAACCGGTGCTCACAAAGCTCCGCTAATGGAACCCCACTTTGCTGCCAATTAAGAATGACATAACAGTAAGTTCTATTTATCTGTCATGGCACATGATTGTCACTGAAACTGAAAATTAAGAAGTATAGCGTTTCAAGACAGAGCATTTTATATAAAGCAGGTAAGTACCTTTGACATCCACTCAGTCACTTCTTTAACACCACGGTGTTGAGAGAGTGCTACCACATAAATCTCCATTCGGTTACATGTGCTAAGAACAGCAGCTTCTTCTATATGGTTTAAAGCACAGAGTTCTCTGATGACTTGAGGCCACTGTGCTTCAGGTATTGCAAGTTTCTCACGGATCTCAACCGGAGCAGTGTGAATGTTAAGCCCTATGACAATGATGCTGCTCCTTTCCTTTGTATACCCTACAAGAGAAAGAAAGCAAACAGGTTAACCCCTCAAATAGAAACACTGATAGATTTCCGCAAGATCTGCAAAAATAACATTAGAACACAAGGAGCTGTATATAATTTCGAGAATTCAACCAAGTAACAGCCCTCGCCTTACCACGGACTCAAACCAAATACCTAACAACCGTTTTGCAAATAATGATATGAACACTTGACAATTAAGTTGGATACGCCAATCAGAATTCGCCATTCTTCTTAGACTAACGATAGTTAAGTCAGTCTTCAATGAGAAGGGAGCCGTACCACGGATCGACATTAGTTCCTAAATTAGAATTTCACGGTAATTTGAAGCGCTTCCATGTTGATGGATCAGTGCATCATCCGAGCTTTTAGCATAAAGCATTAACCATTTTGCAATTACTCACAGAAATATTTTCAAACACTTAACAAGTCCGATAATCAAGCAGAGAAACAACATAAAGCAGAAAGAAAGAATCAATGAAAACATGAGGTGTAAGAGAAGACTCACTGTCAGCCGCGGAAGACTTAAGCAACTCGAGAGCAGAAGGGCCAGAAGGCATGGAATCAATCTCATTTTTCCGAACAAAATTCTCGGAAACAACCTCGCACCTAAGGTTAAACGAAGCAGGCCTCACAGAAACCAGAGCCTTGGAATGCAACGATCTAGAACAAAGCTTAGCCGACGCCGGAGAACGGCGTGATACGATGGCAGGAGAGGCCTCAGTGCGGAGAGATCGAGGGAGAGAGGAAGCGGAACCAAGCGCAGCCGCCATCGACGGAGGACGACGGAGGAGAAACGGCAGAGAGAGAAGGACTCGGGAACCCAAAGCGAGAGGAATGGAAGGAGAAGAATGAGAAGGAAAAGGAAACGAACATTCAGAAATGGAGGCTGAATATACAAATAAAAGGGAAGTGGGTGGGAGGCACACGCGGTGACCACATTGTCATATCGTACAGTGAATTCAATTAATATTTGAATGATGCCCTGTTTTTTTGCCTGAATATTTCAATGAATTGAACGCGTGGGTTTAATTAGTAAGCACATGGCCCATGCCCATAAAAGGCATAGAGTTGAAAATTGTTTAAAATGTTTTAAAAAGGTTGGTTCAATTAACAAGAACTTAATCTTTTGTCCAAAAGAAAGTAATAGATACTTAACCCTTATTTAAAACTTCAAATCCCATTTCTAGTAATCAAGGTATTAAAATCCAATCCAAATCACATAGTGATTGTTTATCATAATTTATGAGTAACTTTTCAACTATGATTTACGAAGTATAAGATAAATATATGATAAAAGTTTTATCTTTATTTATATAAAAGTGCTTATAAGCACTCATCTATCGCAAATCCAAATAAGCATAGTTAAATTGGTAAATTAGTCTCTCAACTAGTTAGATTAAAAATTTTGGACAGGTGAATGAGATTGTACTTTAAAGGGTATTTGAGTAAACTCAAAAGTACTTTTCAGAAACATTTTTCACAAATCGATACAAACTCTTCTATATATTTATTTCGTATATCGTAAAAGCACTTTTAAAGTTATGGTTTTGTTTATACCGAAACACCCTCTAATCAGTCTGAAACAACGTACTTTTTTTGGATTAAAAGAAAATGAAAAAAAAAAGGATCTTTCATATTCCTATTTTAATATTTATGTAATTTGTTGAATTACGCATAGCTTATAGATAAACATTCCATTTAGACATTTAGTTATAAATATTTTAACTCTTATATTTTTTTGGCCCTATCTTAACTCTTACAACCTCCTGTAATTATAAAATTTTGTTTGTAATATATTTTTTCCGATCTTAAATATAAGACTTATTTTACAGTATAAATTATATTATAAAATAAATCTTATATTTAGAATCAGAAAACTATATACAAAGTCTTGTATTAAAACCTGGATTTTAAGGCTAAAAGTGGACTGCGGGGAGGAGACTAGTCAATAATGAGAGTGGTGCCAAAGCTTTGACTTAGGAAGAACTAAAAGGGCATGAAACGGTGAAAGGGCATGTGATGTGAGGCGAGGTGCGTTGTGTCCACACGCTCTCCATCGCCGACCCATTCTAACGTTGAACAGTCAAATACGGAATGCCTCTTGTGAAAGCAATTGGCGTTTTGTGACTTTTGGGGTGCGTTTCAAGGTTTATTGGCTGTTCTAACTATGTACCGACCATTAATAACCCATATGACAAATGCCTTTTTAAATCTCATTCAGAATTTTCTCACTGATTTCTAATTTTAAATATTCAAATTAATTAATTTTTAAATGTAAAATCTCAATTCATTTGACTTCTTAAATTTATAATTTTTTTATATTATTCTTATTAATTACATATATTAAAAAAGATTTTTATTAATGTGAATTAGATGAGGTATTTTAAATACATCTACACATATTTATCATAAATAATTAGTTTAATTAATTTTTTAAATATTTATAAATTAATTATTTAACTCATATATTTGAAACCTTAAAAAGTACTGATTCAACAGTAAACACCTATGTTTTTGATAAGATGATATTACTACTTTTATTAACTCTCGTTATTTGTTGCTTCTGTTTCTTCATAAAAGGTGGCCGCACATGCTCGGTAAATAAACACAGCCACTGCATCTTTTTGTCTTTTACTTCTTAATCAATGAAGAAGACATCGATTTCGAGCACTACCGATTGTCAACGGCATTAAATGTTAAGAACCGAATATACGTTTGGTCGTTAGTAAATAATAAGATACTCTCAAAATATAAGAGCTATTAATTTTTTTAAAATTAATTGTATTGATATTCTCAAATAATAATCAAATATAAAAAAGATGCTTGGAATATTTTAGCAATAAACATATTATTTTAACTAATTTAACTAATATTACTAATATACTCAAATTAGTCAATTATGTGTTATATTAAGAACCGGCCAGAAGAGTATTATATATTATTTTACTACTACTCCTCCTCCGGTCCTTAATATAGGACCCAATTCTTAAGTTGGTTTTGGTCCTAAACATAAGACCCATTTTTTATATTTATTAATTTTTTTTAAATTATCCCTATAGATACTCCCTCAACCATAATCAAGTAGAAGAGGGAGATGGGGTATTAAGAAAGATGATTATGGTGTTTTAGGAAAAATGTGTCACTTTTCTTATAATTAGCTAACTTACCTAACTTCCTTAATCTAATCAAATTAGTTAAATGGGTCTTATATTAAGGACCGGAGGAATACTATTTAACTTGCTAATCGAATAAAACGACTTTTTGCATGCCTAAAACGATTTTTTGTTGTTTAAAAAAACGATTTTTTTTTTGTTTTCAGTGTATGAAAAAAACAGTAGATTGATGGTATTATATTTAATTTATATATTAAATATGAAAATGGTTAATCTGCATTCAACATCTGACATATTTTTGAAGGTACATGAACTTTTGGTGTGAGTTAGCATAGCATGCAAGTAGATTGGGAATGTATGGTGGGATGCGATGAATGAAGATCTAGGGTGTGGCGGAAAAGAAGAAGAAGCGCGCACACACGCACACATATAGAGAGAGAGAGAGAATGAGACCTTAACTTTTGAGGCCCTTGTGGAAAATTAAAATGAGAAAAGAAATTACGACAATACTCTTAAGGAAATACAATTAGAATCAAGCATATATTATTCAGGATAAAAGATATATAATTAGAATCAGTGATATGCAATTAGGTTATATATGCAACTTAATACATGCAATGTGCAATTAAGATCAAGCGTATACAACCGAAGATCAATAATATGTAATTAGGATCAATGATATGCAATTAGATCTTATATATAATAAGGCATCCTCGATATGTAATTAGAATCAAACATATGCAATTAGGATCAGTGATATGTAATTAGTCTATATACAACTAGGCATATGTAGTATGCAGTTAGGATTAAACATATATAACTAGAGATCAATGATATGTAATTAGAATCAATGATATGAGATCCTATATGTAGCTAGGCATTCTCACTATGTAGTTAGGATTAAACACATATAACTCGGGAGTAAGGATATGCAATTAGGATCAGTGATATTCAATTAGGTCTTATATGCAACTAGGCATCCTCAATATGTAATTAGGATCAAGCATATGCAACATGAGATCACAAATATGTAATTAGGATTAGTGATATGCAATTAAGTATATACAACATGTAATTAGGATCTAGTATATGCAATTGGAGATCAAGGATATATAATTAGGATTAGTAATATGCAATTATATGTAACTAGACGCATGCCATATGTAATTAGGATAAAGCATATGTAACTTAGGATCAAGGATATGCAACTTGGGTTATTTAGTCTTTTTATCCCTCAAGTTTATTGCCATATAAGGTCGGGCCTCATTTTACAATTAACTTTTCAAAATCCCTAATTTTCCCTTATTTCTATGCAATAAGTTTCAGCTCATCATTTCTCATGTACTCCCTGCACAAACAAGGGACATGAATATATCTCACACATTTATTGCTTTTAACTAATATTTTAAAGTGCATGATTTTAGTAGTGGTTTCTTATAATAAGTAATGGAGAGAGTATTAAATATAATCATGAAAATATATACAAATTTATTAAATTTTAACATTTTTAGTAATTATAAATTCACATGTAATTTTAATGACTGAAATCCAAACATGGTCAAATTTCTCAAAGTCACTTACCCCTTGCTTGGATTGTGAGAAAATTAAGGAAGAGAGGACATTAGAGAGGAAAACATGAGTTTTTCTATGCTTGGATATGAGAGAAAATATGGGATGAAAGAAAAGTGTGGGGAGAAAATAAGGTGGGTTTCATATCTCATTTTCTCTCCAAATTTTTTCTCAATATATGGAGAGATTTGGGAAGAAAAATAAGATTTTTGTGCCTCTCCATATTTATTTTCTTTTATTATATTTAAAAAATTATTCACTTTTTATTTTTAATCTTTAAATAGTATTTTTGTTAAATAATTTGGTTTTAAGATATAATAACATGAATAAATATAAACAAAATAAGTTGATTTTAAATTATTTGATAGTGCTAAGTTAGTATAATTTTTCTATTGCAATATTTAATTTGGTTCAATTTAAATATGATATATTTTGATAAAGATATTTTAGTCATTTAGATATTTGTTCTTTTTTTCTTCCTATTTTCTTTCATCTATTCAAGCAAGATGGATGATAACATCTTATCATTTTCTATCTATTTTCTCTTCTCTTATTTTTTTTTTCCTCCCAACTTTTTTTTCCCATCCAAGTAGAGCATCCAAATAAAAATCATGATTAACCAACTTTACTTTTAACTAATACTATCTCTGGTCCTTAATATAAGACTCTATTTGACTTTTATTTTGATCCTAAATATAAGACCCCAATCCACTTTATCTCTCATCTTTACTCAATTTTTTCCAAGATAGTCCTTCTAATAATTATAGTTCTAGTCAATACACTTGATTAGCAAGGATATTTTAGGAAAGATAACACCTATTTAGGAGAAATAACTAACTCAACTTACTTCTTTAATCTCCTCAAATTAGTCAACTTGCTCTTATAATTAGGACCGGAGGTAGTATCAATTATAAAAATTGCAGTTGTTTATTGCTAATTTAAATGGACACAAGTGTTTTGTTTTGTTTTTTTTTTTTCAACCAGCAATGGACACAAGTGTTTGAGGCTATAGATAAGTTTGCGAGTTATTAAAAAAAAAAATTCTCTGATAAATTTTATCTTATAATTTATTCATAAAAGATAATTTTTCACATATAAATTCTTCTCTAGCTTTATTTATAAAGCACTTTTACTGTGTTTCACACATAGTAGGGAAGACTTTAAAATATATTAATTGTCCATTAAAATACAACACCTTTTCAAATTTAACCCTTTTTACTATATACACGTTTCAAAAAAATAATTATTCCCATTATAATAAATAGAAGATGGAACAGTTCATTCACAATACAAATTTAACAAAATAATTTATAAATAAAAAATAATTTTTTCTCTCCGTATAATACAAAAGCTCAGCGGAGTAACAAAATCGCGCACACAAATGAAGACTCTGGATTAACGATCACAGCCACGAATCCCGCAAACGAGAAGCATAACCCCCAGGTGGCTCTCTCCTCACCGTGGCCGATGAACACAAAACTAACAACACAATATGGGCTTCGAGTTTCTCAGAGCCTCGCCTCTTTCTTCTTCCAATGCCATAGTACTTCTTAACCCCAGAGCCAAACCCATCTTCTCTGCTTTACGTCGCCCTTTTCATTCTTATCCTAATCCTCGTCCTACTTCACTGTTAAATTCTCACTCCAACGTCTTCTTGTCGAAACCCATTATTACCCCCACCATTAAGCGTGGTTTCCGTGGTGGAATTGTGGCCATGGCCACTTCCGGGTCTGTCCAGAAGTCGGAGGAAGAGTGGCGTGCTGTTCTCTCCCCCGAACAGTTTCATATTCTCAGACAAAAGGGCACTGAGTAAGATTCTTCCCTTTGGCATAGCCTGAATTATGCTAGTTTGCTGTAATAATGCGATTGGATTTTGATTCTTCTTTCCGTGTTGTTCAATTGAAGATTGCTGAAATTTCAATGAAGAAAACTTCAAAGATTGCTTTTCACCGACTAATTTCGAAATTAAGGCGTTTTAGTGGTTATTATTCTTGTTAATGCTGGGGATTATGATTCAGGAAAGACAGATAAACAAAGATTTAGCATTTGGCTGTGTTTGGTCTTTAGAATTTTATGCTCCTTTTTGAGTTGAATATTGTAATAAGAAGATCGAGAGGTGTCCCAAACGGCAGTGATGAATAAATAATTTTACTCTAAGAAAACTTGTCGGCCTACAGAAAGGAGGATTTTGCTTTCAACTTCCAGATTGATAGCTAGATTTGCTACTGTTACTTGAATTAGTAATTGGATTAATCATGCATGACCACAATGCTACTTTTGATTTTATTTGATGAAAATTTTCCTCATGTACTATTTGATAATTTGGGTAGGGTAATGAAAATTCAGCGGAGTTTTGTTCTTTTTTCTTCTTTTGCATAGGAAAGGTAGATTTCCTAGTTCAATATCCTCTATATCTGACACCGCACTGAGTACTGATTGAGCATACGTATTCAGTACTACCTCTGGTCCTAATTATAAGAACTAGTTGATTAATTTAAGGAGATTAAGGAAGTAAGTTGAGTTAGTTATTTATCCTAAATAGGTGTTGTCTTTCCTAAAATATCTTTGCTAATCAAGTGTATTGACTAGAACTATCATTGTTAGAAGGGCTACTTTGCAAAAAAAAATAATAAATATGAGAGACAAAGTGGATTGGAGTCTTATATTTAGGACCAAAATAAAAGTCAAATAGGGTCTTATATTAAGGATCGGAGGCAGTATTATGATCTTGTTCTTCATGAGAAATGTTCACATATATGGAAACCTCGACGCATTTGCTTAAAAGAGAAATTTATTGAGAATACCGTTAGGGGAGTTTTATTTTGCATAGAATGGAATGAAGTGACAGAGCCAAGAAAGTCAAACCATTGTTTGGAAGAATTGTTTAGGAGGAGAATAAGGAGTGATGGCTTCCTGAATCATCCTAAACCCAATTTTTTTCTTCCCTAAATTGGAGGTCAAGGATGGAATAATGTAGTACAGTTACAAGAATATTTCTACACCGACAAGATGAAAATGAATATTTTCACTTCCAAAACAAAGCTCCCCTCTCCGAGTCTTTCACTTGCCATCATCACGTCTTCTCCTCTCCAACTTCTAGTTGGTTAATACTTGCTGAGAAAACTTGTGCAAGTGAATATGCATTTTGTATTTTGTTGAACCATTTTGCCGGAATCTGGATATAAACGAGTAATTAGTTTTAAATTTATTGGATCATGCATTATAAGGTGTCATCCCATCCCAACATTATCTGGGAGATTATTTGTGTGTTAAATGGCCCAAACCCACTTGAGGTGCATTAGTGGCAAAGATCCATCAATTCTGCACGGATATTCAATCAAAGACTGTAGCAAATTGGGAAATTTGATTGAGCTTTGGCGCCTTACAGGGAAGCGAGCTCTTCTTTGATCAAGTCTTGATCCTTCTATAATTACGATGGGATGATACATAAGTCGCCATTGCACTCCACTTCGTTCTAGTAGTGACCATCCCATTCTATCTCATCTTATAATCCCAAACACATTCCAAGGCTTCATGAATGTGACCTTCTGTTTCTCTAGTAATCTTTATAGTTGCCTTCTATTTTTTTTTTCCCCATTTACATCCAACGTCTTCTCTTGTCACTGTGATTTCTGAGTGCTGAGTAATTTATATAGGCATTTGTATGGAGAATAGAAAAGAAAAGAAAATTGTAATGGAAAAGTAATTGTATGTGCCGAAAATTTCTCTGGTGTCTTGGCGTAAAAACAGTAATAAATAAGACAATTACTGTTAAATGATAATGACAATGATGTAATAAACATTATACGTGTGTATTACTTTTTGTGCAATGAAAAGAGAAGATCTTTCAAATGGTTCAACCAAATGGGGCCGAATGGAGGGGAAATGAATGAGAAGATAGAAATAATTTTCTAACTTGATAATACTCAAGATGGATACTGGCCTTAAAAGTTATCAAGAAGACGGTTTTGTATTTTCCAGGTATCCGGGAACAGGAGAATATGACAAGTTCTTTGAAGAGGGAATCTACAACTGTGGAGGTTGTGGCACTCCTCTTTATAAGTCCACAACAAAATTTAATTCTGGGTGTGGCTGGCCAGCCTTCTATGAGGGTCTTCCAGGAGCCATAAACCGCACGGTGAGTTAAATTTTTTTTGGCTTGTCTTCACTGTTATATTCATGTCCTGATTGCCCTTAGTCTCTCTAGTTATTTTCAATGAAGTAATTTAATCATAGTTCAATAAGAGCACTGCTTTGGATCTAGTTTCTGTTTAACCTGGCCAGTCAGAGCAATGCTGCCCTTACAGTTGTTTAGTTATCAGAGTAAACTTTTTTCGCTCTTTGTAATTATTAAATCAAAGCATTAAAAAATTTGAGAAAGTAAATAAATATGGTGGTTTTAGATTTCACTATGCCTCAAAATTGCTGTAACAGAGTAGAGGATTGATCTAAGGCAACGTTTATAATATACAGAATGTCTATACATGTGATTTTTAAATTGGAGAAGAATTGATTTTGATGAGATTGTGACGTTGAATGTATGAAACAGCCGGACGCAGATGGAATGAGGACAGAGATAACATGTGCAGCATGTGGGGGGCATCTAGGTCATGTTTTTAAAAATGAAGGATTCCCAACGCCAACCAATGAACGCCACTGTGTGAATAGCATTTCACTGAAGTTTGTGCCTGCCAATTCTTAATATCTCTGAGCTGTTCTCTGCCATACGGATATGGATCAGTATTGCACACTCTAAATTTCATAAGATGATTATGTAATGTACTGAAATTGTAGCTCAGCTTCATTGAGTAACGATTGCATATACAGTTGTGAATGAGGTGTTCCTTAATACTACTGAGCTGTTCTTGTAGTTGAGTATGTATCTGATTCAAATAGAAATATCTTTCCCCAGGTGTCTTTTTCTTCTTTTCCTGTTTTCTTTTAAAAACTTTTAAATAATATAACTTTTAAATTTTGCGGACGTTAGGGATAATACAACTTGTAGTTTATGTGTGCTTGTATATATATTATGTGATATGTGATGTTGGCTGTTGTAAAAGTCTTGGGAAGGTCCAATTTGCAGGGTATAAACACTCTTAAAATTCTACAGTGATCATGACACAACTGCTGTTGTGAAATTTTAATTATAATTGACTTTAGATAATGTGATTGTGTCTGTAGTTATATGAGTACTTATACGTGTTCAAGGCTTGAGGGATGAGGGATATTTCATATTCTGAGTCGGTCACATCTAAAATTTTGGGGATATTGTATATGTGTGTCTATGCAGTACCGTCAATTTTTAATATAAGGGTTAGTTTGACATTTAATTTAGTCATAAATATAAGATTTTATTTCACTTTGTATCCCAGATTTATCTTTTTTTTTTAAGTAGCTTTTGTAATAGTTGCACATGTTAAATATTTCATCAAATAGTAGTTCTAGTTGATACACATGATTAGTAAGAATATTTTAGAGAAGACAAAATTTATTTATTACAACTAATTAACTTAATTAATTTTCTTAATTTACTCAAATTAGTTAACTAGCTCTTGGAGTTAATACTATTTCGGTTTTTAATATAAGATTTTGTTTGATTTTTATTTTGATCCTAAACATAGGACCTAAATTTACTTTATCTTTCATACTTATTCATTTTTTTCCCCAAGATAGTCCTAATAATGGTAATTCTTAATAAACTTGGTGAGCAAGGACATTTTAAAAAATAGAACACATATTTATTACAAATAACTAACTTAATTTATTTTTTTAATTTACTCAAATTAGTGAGGTAGTATTTGTTTATTTCAAAATAACTAAAGTGAGGGTTCCGTGTTTTTGTGTGATAAAAAACTATAGAAAAATGTTAAAACATGCATGGATCAAATATTAACAACAACTTGTAAATAAAATATTTGCTTCAACAAAAAAATTATTGTAAATAATAGAGAGTTATCATGTTGTTTGAAAAGCACATTTGGGACAATATTTAGGTTAAATTTTTTATATTTATTATGTTAATTTTTTTAATCCCACATAGTTACGTGTTCTATTTTTAAAATATTAGCTTTAGTATCATTTAATTATAAATGCACACAACAAAACATATATCATATATAATCGGAGAGCTCAACATATCTAAGTCACTTGATTTAAATATTTTCTGTTGAAAATAACTTCAAACTTTCTCTTTACGTTTTACATTAAAAGACCTAAAATGGGTCCCACTTTACCATCAAAATAAAATGATCCGCATTGATGGCATTTAATTGCAACTTTTCCCTCAAAGGATCGATAAATCAGGGATCACCCCTACAAACTCAGCCTTTTCCCTCGTTGATCTAACTATTCTAATGTATTGGTACATTTATTTAATAATTAAATAAATAAGATAAGCAGTTTAACACGATAATAATAGCTGGTAAGTTTTTAAAACTATTTTTCTTATATTTAAAAAAAATACTTATATCAAGTTTTTTATATCTATTTTGTCTGTTCTTAAATCACACATAAACATGTGTCCTAATTTTCTTACATGATTTTGTAGTTTAATGATAGTATTTTAAAAGTAGGACATATGACTAAGTGTAATTGGAAAACTTGACATAATTGATACATAAAAATTGGCCTAAGTAATATTTAATTTAATAAAAGGTTAATTAATTTAATTTAATATAATACATATTTTTTTAAAATTTGAAAATTCAATTATGAATTTTTTTGGGTGTAAACTCAGAATATTCTAAGTCATTTTGGATTTGAGAATAACGTCTGTAAGGTTAGAAGCGTTAAGGTCAAAACTCTCCTAACAAATGTGTTTCTCAGGATTTGAACTTGTATTTCCCTCTATGGGTATTATTTCAACCAACAGCTTGTTGGTCATTAATTATCAATTTTAATGTAACATGAATTACATATAAATTAAAAGTTAAAAGTAATTATGAATTTTATCAATATACAGTGTAATATAATTGAAGTTGAACTGTCCTTAATTGTCGCTTTGGGGTTACTCCAAAAATTAACCGAATTAATGCAATATAGTGCAAAACTCGGGTCGTTTCACTTTGAGGAGCCGAAAAACGAAATTAAACCCTAGTAAATAAATGCAAGTAACCTAAATTATAAAAAGAGATTTTTGATTTTGAAAAGCTGTTAATTAAATACTACGAATCAAATTGAAATTAAAATACTTTTTTTTATATTTTCTTTTATATAAAAGATTATTGAAATAACTGAAAATAAAAGAAATGAAAATGAGACACACAAATAACACTGATAAAAATCAATCCTCCAATTCAACAACGCAGGCAATCATCACTCTAAAAGATGTGGGAGTTAAAAACAATGAATTAAGAATTATAATTAAGCTTTTGATCCAACAACCGAGCCACCTCGAGTTGCCACAAAATATTTTCCTAAAATCCCAACTTACTAACTGCAACCAGAATAGTAAAATGGGATTAAGGATGCTAAAAACCAATGCTTAATTAGAACTCTTAAATCCAAAATAACAGAATTAAAGCTAGCAAGAGACTATATGATCCAAAATTCTAAGCCACCTTAGAAAACCACAATATATTAATTCCAACGTCAATACAAATGTCATAACCACAACATTATAATTGAGATCAAAACTATAAACAGCCCAATGTCAAATACTAAGCAATAATTCAGTCACAATAATCCCTAAATATAATCAGATTAAGCAATACAATTATCCCAATAATCAGAAAAACTATCCTAAGACCTAGGAATTGTTAAACAATTATTGAGCAAGAAATTAAAGAAACTAGAACTCCCCCTTAAAGATCTAAGCTCCTGCCATTATTGTTGAATTGGAGAATCAGAGGATCTTAGCCACGGATTGCCATAAGGAATGCCATATTCAGAATTTTGTTGCGGTTTGCCATGGAAAAATACTGTTCACGCCGTCAGCTCCCTGCTTCGTCCTCCGTTCTGCTCGCTGTTGATTGGAGAAAACAGAGGAAGGTGATGATGGACTGGACCGATGGAAGGACCTCTCTCTTCTCTCGCCGCCTCCAACTCTGTTCTCCCCTTCTGCGTGTGTGTGTTCGGCGTGTTCGTGTGTGTGTTCGGCGCCTCCCTTGCGTGTCTCTCTTTCTCAGCGCCGCTTCGTCTCTGCCTCTCCTAATTGAAGAAGATAATACTATATATTAGGGGTGGAGCAAAACGCAACGTTTTGCTCCCCCTTTTATTATTTTATTATTATTTTCTTTTCTTTTCTTTTCTTTTTTTTTTTATATTTTTGAATCTTCCAAGAACCTGCAAGCAAAATTCAAGGATAAGGTAGCATTAATTGTCCTAAAAAATCAATTAATCACAATTAAATCAAAATATGACAATTTTGCCCCTATAAAATAATAATTCAAAATAAAACAAAATAAATCAATTAAGGCAAAAAAGGACCAATTAAGCTGACAAAACTCATATAAAAGATACCAAAATATATAAAAATAATTGAGTTTGTCAATAATATATATTTTTACCAGACTAATATGTCGCATGAAAAATATTTAAAATTTGGATATTTTCAAAAACTAACAATCTTTTTTTAGCCAATATCTTCGAGATGTATTACTCCTATTTGTACTTTTCAGCATGCGTCTTTCATTTTTTTCGTATGGTACTTTATCTATTTCCTTACCCGATAACCCCATCCCATGTTGGATGTGATCCCACGGCCACGTAGGCATTACGTAGCTGTCGCGCTTCAAAATTCCCCTCTTGCTTTCTCGTCCATGATTATCGTTTATCCTCACCACCGTGGCTAGACGTTAAAAAAAGATCAGCTTCAATTGATGCCCACAAGTTGCATTTGCTCCACATATATTTAGCCAACTCGTTTTTGCAACGCTTTCACTTTCTGCAAAAATTTCAAGTCTTTTGCTGCTTGCTCGTGTTCATTTATCGTCCACACTTTCGGGGTTTGATTTTTTGTCCCTTGGTTCTGCAACTGCAAGGTAGGGGCAGTCAAATCAAGGAGTTCATAATTTAACTAAAATATCTTAAATTTTAAGCCGGGTATCAATAAGTGAAGCAACGGATTGCAAATGAGGTTCTTCCCGTGGTGTTCTATAGCTTGGTGAGCATTATCACTATGACGGAGTCACTTGCTTACTGCCAAAGCTTCAAGGTACCATCTTCATATTGTTCTTCACTCTGTTTGTGGTCTGTCTCGACTTTGTTTGCTCTTAATGTAAATGAGTGCTTCTTGTGGTTTTGTTGTGATACGGAGCTATGACATTTTTCTCCATGTTTCTCTTTGTTCCCTCCGAGTGAAAGGTTAAAAGGGGAAGAATGGAAATTAAAGACTTTTCAACTTCAAAATTGCTGCTTAATCTAATGTCTATTCAAATTTAATTTGAATGACCTGTATTTGGTTTCCTCTGAGAAAACCGCAATTGACATTTGTAAACGGTTAAATATGAACCTGTTGCTTAATGCCGATATCCGTTAGTCTGGTTTTAAACGTTGTGGTTAATATGTAGAAAGGGAGTTCTTGAGTGTTTGTTACTACAAGGAGTTGCAATTCCAATCCTTCACATTGAAGGGAATGGGAAACAATGGAAACTAAAGGTTTTAAACTTGGAAATTGCTGCTTAGATCAATGTATATTCAAGTAAAATTTGTATAAGCCAGGTATTCACAGTGTAAATTGCCTAATATGAACTTGCTGCTAAATGTGCATAGTTGAATAGTTGAGGCATTCTAACATTTCCTTGGAATTTCCATGCAGGGCTATGATAGAACCAAACAGAAGAGTCCAAATTGGGTTTACAATCATGCTATTTCATCAATTTGTAGAAATTCTGTTTTCATGATATATTCAGATAACAAACCAGGGCCACCACTATTATCCCACCGAGTTAATAACAGGATAAGTCATGGAA